TCTTAAGAATTCAGAGTGGCGACACGTCGACTGAATTGCACAAAAATTGAAATTTCCAGATTTTAAAAATTCACAGTGGCGCCACGCCGACTGAATTGCACAAAAATTCAAATTTCCAGATTTAAAAAATTCAGGGTGGCGCCATATTGACCACAAATTCAAATTTCCAAATTAAAAAATTCAGAGTGGTGCCACGCCGACTGAATTGCACAAAAATTGAAATTTCCAGATTTAAAAAATTCAGGGTGGCGCCATATTGACCACAAATTCAAATTTCCAAATTAAAAAATTCAGAGTGGCGCCACGCCGACTAAATTGCACAAAAATTGAAATTTCCAGATTTAAAAAATTCAGAGCATCGCTATTCGAATCTTAAGAATCCAAGGTGATGTCAGCTTGATTCCAAAATTCAAGATGACACAAGACCAGCTCCAACCAAGCTTCACGAATCTAAAGAATTCAGGGTGGAGCTCTGCACAGATAATAACGATTTTTACGATGGCGCCAGCTGAATACGCTAAGGCTAGGATGGCGCCAATCGAATCTGACAATTTTGGAACAATGCCAGCCAAGTCTTACAAGATAAGGGTAACGTCAGCAAAGTTCATTGCTCCTAAGATTGCACCAAGTATATATAACATCCCCAATATGACGTTAAAACTAAACAACAATCGCTTTTATTACCTTTACTTAAAAATTCTCTTCTCCGTGTCATTCATCTAACTCTTACACACCCATTACAAACACAATAATATCATTAATATTCATGTAAATACAACTGTAATAAAATATCCGAGATTACCTTTGGTCTCTTCCATTGAAACTGAAATGGAGGTGTCTGATGGTAGAAAACCGACGTTTGCGTCGCAGGAAATTCTGGATCCTCCCAAAGTTCCCCTCGTTTCAAGCACGAACGCTTGATTCGTTCGTACTCGCTCATCACGTCCTGCAACGTATAAAATTCCAATTACAATTTCATCAACAATTCACAACTTCGTTCTCTTATTTATTCTCCTGCAACCTGGTTCATTGATACGTAACAATTACGCAACCACTGCTCTCAATGACTTTCATCAATGTTTCTACAGCGAGGTGTAGGTATATCGTAAGAGCATCTAGATCAACGCGTTACGTTACGTTAATTAATATTTATAACGAGCTACATATGGAAGGTGAGAAACTAACAGTACCTCTCTCGCTTGCTTCAACGCCCTCCATGCTCACGGGTCACAATTATTATACCGATTGCACGATTACCAGGATGAAATTCCTTCGCGGTCTTTCCATACGTTACACACGCTGCTAACAATGCTCTTTTGAATATTAATAAATACACCAGGTGGAGTATACACGCTTGGTCGTCGTCGTTTATGTTACGCAAGATAGCGAGGAACGTGAGCATCAGGCGCATTAAAAACGCTTATTACGGCCTCGATAGGATGTGATAACGCGTTTCAAGACCTCATCGAAGACCCATTGTATCGAGGTCAACACTTTCTCTCCTTGCTGCAAGTCTTCGGGTGCACACCGGCAACGTTTTTCTTTATAACCACCGGTGAACTTAATTCCTTCGACGAGTGAAGAAAATCTTTTCTTTTCTTTCGAATAATCGTCCGGTGTGTAAAAACGAGAGGACGAGTTTGTGCGCCGTTTAGAAATTGCAGGTACACGTCAGCGTTTAAGCGTAACATTATGCACAGGCTTTCGTGTCGTAAATTCTGGCGTGCGTTTATGGCGGATAGACGAGATAGGTGTAAACGAGCTCGTTGCTAGGTCACGAATAGGCGTGAAACTGAATCTTCAGCTTAAAGGTGGCTCTAGCTTTCTCTGCATCGAACGGAATAATTGAATGTGCACTAGTGGACAGAAGTTTGGGATCACTGTGCGTTGCAAGGTACAGAAAAGTTTGAAAAAAGAAGTCAGTAACTTGAAGAATTTTTAATCGTTCTAATCGAACGAAATGGGGTAAATTGCTATCGGTCGCCATAAGTTCCATTTCGAGTGCATAAAGAATTAGTGGCAAATTTAATATTCGTGAAAAATGGCAGGTAATCTCAAACTTGAATTTTTTATCATTCAAATCAATCGAAACGAGGTAAATTGCTATTGATCTCCACATGAATTTCGAATCTGCACAGAATTAGTATTCAACACTGATGAACTACAAGAGCAGACGATTGATATGAAAATTGATCCCAAACTTCTGGCTGACAGCGTACATAACTAGCAATTAACGAGATATCGATCTCGAATCAATGCTATACATTTACAACATCCAGAAGCCTAACCGTGAACGTCACTCTGTTTCTCCATTTCTAACGACACACACGCGCGGCCAAGTAGCGTTTCTTTCGCCTAGATCGCAATGCAGATCCGAGTTTAAGAACGATCTCTCGATGCGTCTGTGCAAATGTAAGCGCTTTCGAATTCTAACGAATCGGCGATTTCCCTTTGTGAATATCGCGCAGGGGGCCTGTTATTACTCAAAATCATCGTCACGGAAGAGGTGACCGCCACGAGCAACGTGTCCCGATATTGGTCATTTGCACCGTGCAAAAGGAGGATGTTCGACGTGGTTGAACGAGCCGCGACACTCGCGAATTACATTTTCCAACGATCGCCGCCGTGCTTGATAATACATTTTCACCGGTTTAGCGTAGGCGATAACGCGAGAGAAGGTGCGCACACACGCGTGTGTAGTACCTACTCGTGAAAGCGTCACGATTGCGAAACAGGTAATTACATCGGTTGGACCGCCACCACGTTCTGCGCTATTGTCCCAGCCAGCCGACTAACCCGTCCACGGAACAATCCGGTGCACCAATTAAGTTCGTAACGAGTCGCTACCAAGTAGCGGCTAATTAGAATGCCTACAAGACGACGGAGTAGTCTTCCACTTTGAACCGTTGAAAACGGTTCCACCGTTTCACGTCTACGCTGCCTTCGCATACCAGGTTAAGGTGTGCCCCTTTTCCTATTGTTTCTCGGATGATAAAGGGTCGTTTCACTCTATCCACGATTTAACCCTTTCGTAACAAGGGGCAGAAATGTGTCACGAGATCACTGGAATTGTTATTTTACATTTTACGCTTCCCTTTCGCGACATACGTTTGTTTCTCTATTCGCGATTTAACCCTTTCGTAACGAGGTGCAGGAATGTGTCACGAGATCGCAGGAATTATCATTCTACCCTTTCTTTTCTGTTGTCCGTCACGTGACAAAGATTTCCACGTTTGTTTCTCTATTCGCGATTTAACCCTTTCGTAACGAGGGGCAGGAATATGTCACGAGATCGCTGGAATCGTTATTTTACGCTTTCTTCCGTGACATACGTTTGTTTCTCCGTCGGTGATTTAACCCTTTCGTAACAAGGAATAGAAATATGTCACGAGACCATTGGAATCATTATTCTACACACTTTCTTTTCTTCGCGGAACGATTGTGAGAGTTTCTTAGAAGTGCCTTAGGTTGATGATAGGTGTATTTCGGTGGACTACTTGATACTGGATGGATTTAACGAGTAAGTGAGCTCTTTAGTGAACCGTGTCGTAGGTAACGTGCTCGTTGTAGCGGGAGAATGATTCAGATTGTCGCTGATAAATTTTAATCCCGCGAACCGGTTTAAAGGTAGTTGTTTCGAAGAGGAGCTGGACGGTTGAACACCTAGACGCGTGTTTTTCCTTGTAGAAATGTAGGAGAGACCTACTGATTCGCGTGAGAAGATTGAGATATCACATTTCTCAAAATTGGACGTATTATCGTAGACACTTAATACTCGATTTATAGTAGATATGTCAATTACACAACTGGGAATTGTTATTACTGGGAGTTGTAATTACTCTGTCGTCTACTTTAAAAAGTATCAGATCATCCTGAAATTTTAGACCGTTCATTTTTGAAAAAAAAACTTAATTCCACTAAAACGAAACATTTTTATTCAAAATAGTTTCCAACGTAAAAATCCGAGTTTCCAAGAGAAAGAAACTACCGAAAGGCTGAAAACAGCGGGAACGTTCGAAACGACCTAACGCAAACTCGAAACCTGCAGCCACCTCGAAATCGATTCTGTCAGCAAAGAAAAGAGGCCACTTTCGACATGATCCTCAAGTCACACGGAGAGACCTTGACCAGTTACCCTGGAACAAAGAACCGATCCAACCAGAATAACCGAGAAAAACGAGGAAATCTCACATTCCGTAGCCTATCTTAGATAAAACTAATTCAAACGTTAATTTCCACGAAGATCGTCCAATTTGAGGAGGGAAAGGTAAGCAAGAAGCCATCGGCTGGGCTTGATTTCGCAGGAAACCGTGAGGACGTTTTATTTACTTTTACAGAATTACCGGTTGCTCGGTATTTTTTTGCTGGTTCGCGCGCGTTGCGGCGCAGCGCGGAGCGGAGCGGCGAGGCGCAATCATCCGACGAAGGGAAGCATGAAGCACACTCGCGGCGTGTTATTCCGTCAAAGATAGATGCCTGTGGCACGTAGCACGTACCAACCGTACAAAGAGCAACAGAGCAAAAGAGAGAAAAAGGGATAGAGATAGAATGATTTTACATTGTACGTGCCAGGTTATTCGCGACTTTGCCTTCCGCTAAACCGAACACTTCGCCGATCCACTATATACGTTAGCTGTATAATAGCCACCATACTCTCGTACCGGTCGGACTAGTTTCACGCTTGGCTCTCACACGGCCTTGAAGCACAGCCGCTGCAAACTTGCCGAGAAAACCTTTATGGTTTTGCCTCTATACCCGACGTGGACCTCGCGCGTCGTCTTCTGTCTCTACGGATTCCGGCTCTCCCAGCCTTCCGGAATTTCAGCTCTGTTCACCCGAAGCTGTTTTATACCAACGATAGAGCAAGCCTCACCGAGGGAGCCGAGAGACGCAAATTACACGAGATTCTCTACTGACTCCGGCTTCGAACGAGGATAATAAAACGGACACCGATTGGAAACTGTTTTCCACGGGCGTGGTCGAACGTGATAAAATTTGGAGAAAATACCGAGGAAATGGGAGTTGTAGCAGAAAGATGGATGATTGTAGCAGAAAGATGGAGATCTCATTTAGTTTAGAATACGGAGATGTATCCGTTGATGGAAGTGATTGGATCGAACGTTTCGAAAGGAATATGGAGAAATATGCAGATCGTCTTTGGCAAGGCTCTAATGAAGAATGTTCATTTAAATGATATAAATGTAGAACGTGTTGCTAGGATCTACGTTTACTTCGAATTCACGTAAAAATCACGGAAAACATTTAGTAACGCGAACGTGATTCAGTATTTACGTCCTCGATGACTAATCGTACACTTTCTATTCCGTCGATCGTTTTTTCCGATCTATGTGCGCGTTCACAGTCCGTTCGACAATCCCTCTTAACAAGTGTAACTGTAGAAAAACAAAACTTCCTTGGAAAAAAATTAAAAAAGGATTAATCAAAAAATTCTACAAAACAGGAAACAAGTTACTCTATTTAAATAAATGTTTCTTTCATTTGAAAATTCATTTCGTTTGAAAATGTAACGAGTGATTGTATGCGTGTGCTTGGATCAGCTGTGTGTTGGAGTTGGATGAAAATCAAGCAGACACGAGGGAGTCATCGAACGTGTACTAAAGTGAGTGGAAACGATCGTAAATGCGTTCCTTTCAATTGGCATACGCAATCAATTATCAACGTACGGTTATGGCGCGTAATAGGTAAGTCGATTGCGGCTTCGCCGTTAACAAGAGAAACGTGTATCAAACTCGCGGAGAATTATTTCTCCGATGTGCACAGAGCAGTCGTGGCAAGTTGTTCTCGCGTAACGGGATACCCATGGAGACGAGAGGAGTTCTCTGTGTAACCTCGTGCACTACGACCTTAATTTCCTTCTTTCTATTATACGCTGCTCCATTTTTCATCCAACCTCTGCCTCGCGCCTCCTCCTGCTTCGAA